CCGTGAATCACTTAGCTAGCCCCACTTGCTCTCATCCTGCTCGCAATAAATTGCTGGATTGCCAAATTGATGGGTTTACAGTTTTGGGCCGGGTTGAGCCAACTACGGCTGTTGTTGTTTCTAATACTGATCCTTATGTGGATGCTTGGCATTGTGATTTTAATCGAGTTAATGTCCTTTACTTCAACAATGTTAATGTTTCCACTGCTTTGGCTTTCCTTTTCAATGTGGATGACAATGTTATTTCACCTCTTATTGATGTACATATTTCACTTGTGGATAACGATAAGTTGCTAGCTCAAGTGGAATCAAAACTAAAAATACTACTGAGCATCATGGTAATTGGCTTACTGAATGTGGTTCTTTTGCCAATTGGGATGTTGGTGAGGAAATATATGTGAATAAAGTTGATTATGAAGGTCTTTATGATTTAAATGTGATTTGTAACATGGAGGAAGGGTTTTACAAAAATATTGCTAAACGTCGTCGGAGAAAATCCGAAAAGAAATTTTTTTTTTCTCTTTTGTTAAGTCTTCTTTCTATGATGTTGGCCATCTTTCTCTTTGGTGGTGTGTGGTCATTTTGATTGGTGGGGCTGAATGGGTGGCTGGCTCACTGGATTAGTTATTTTTTGGTTTTGTCCTAATTGGTTTTGGCTTCGACTTATGTTGGATCCTTTGCTAGTTGGTGTAATGGTGCTTTGCCTGTGGTGGTGGCTTGTTGCCTTGGCCTTCTTTCTTTTTTTATATTTGCTTTCTTTATGTTTCTCCTTTTTTGTAGGTTTATGTTGCTGCTTCTGTTGAATGCTATTGTCTTGTTGATCTGGTTGTCCTTCGATGGTCAAACTTTTGGGTGGCTTCTTGGTTTTCTTGTTTGCCTTTTTTTTGTTGGTTTTGGTACTCATTGATTCTATTTGTATTAATTTGAATCATTAGCCCATAGGTTTTACTTCAAATGATATAGTTTTAGAGAGCTGATGATTCCTTAAGGACTTGTAATCCCCCCCCCTGCCTTCCCCCCCCCCACCACCTAATTAATGCGTAGGCTTCTGTGTTTTTTTACCACAAAAAAAAAAAAAAGGCCTAAGATATGCTGCTAAGATGCTAATGTCATGGGCTCATTAAGACTCATGTCCTCTCCTATAAGCATGCGAGATTTAGAGACAATTTAGTTTTTCAATTAATGTCCTTAAGCTTTCAAGTATGTTTCAAATGATTGATTTGACCTTATTTGGAGTTAGATTGAATCACTTACAATATTGATGGTTTTTTTTTTCATCAAAATGTTTAGTTCAGCAACAAGTTGTTGAAGTCGAAATTTTGGTGGTCCAGAATTTAATCCTAAAAATTTATATAATTCAAATTTAACTTTGGAATTTATGTCAATCATGTGAATTCTTTGATGACGTATCAATAAAAAATTATGAAAATTATATTAATATTTTTTTGTCTTTCTTTATGTGTTGTTATGCGTCAAATAAGTTTAAAATTTCATTTGAGACAACTTTTCCACTGCTTTATACACTAGTTTTTTAGTACTTTTTTTTGAAATAAAAAAAAATGACAAAGTTATCTCAAATAAGAAAAATTATTACTTGCGGACACCAAACACGTCCAAACGTTAATCAGGAGCCGCCACATCATCCAAAACACAATACATTTCGAGATGTGGCGGCTTCTGATTGACCTCTGAATGCGATTGACATCCTCACCTAAAAATTTTTCCTCAAATAAAACCAGAATGGAGGGATTCATATGAACAGCTAATCAAAACGTTGTTTGAATGGTTTCATATTATAGCAAAGTGTGACGAAAACAATAGAAAATTGGGGTGCAAATGCCCTATTTTTCACGCACCTCTTGGACCTTCAAAGGGCCAGTTTGATTGCTTGAAGTTAGACACCGCGTTGCAAAATAGTAAATTTAATAGACGCTATTTTTAGATTAAATGAACTTTAAATAAATAAACATTTAAAGTTTCATGACTAAGCTCAAAACTCTTCGCAATTTGACCATTATGTGTATATATAATATAAAATAATTATTTTTAAATACATATTTTTCGAACTGCTAATAATCAAGGCTGAGATGATTATTGTGATGTTCACGACAATTTTTTTTACGTGTAAAATAAATAAAAAAGGAAAATCACATCGAATAGCCAAATTAGTAAATTACAATATTTCACTATATAATTAAAGGCACAAAAATTCTCTCTTCTTCACTATTGAAGAGGATGGAATTACATAAGAGTTGTCTGATTCTTTTATATATATATTAAAGGAGTCTTGCACCACTTTATTCAATAAAAGGAGAAAAAACAACAGCCGAGAGGCATATAAAGCAAAATACAAGCTGAAGAAAGAAAAAAAAAAAAAGAGAAAATCATCCTCCAACAAGGAGCCAAAATTAAAACGACCAAAAAAACCGAATACTAGTAAAGAGGGCACAGATACCAGCCGGAATCAGGAAAGCTCGTACAACTAACCAAAAAGCCAAGCAAGAACCATCCAATGACAGTAGCAAATGATGAAGAAAGCAAAGTATAACAAAAAAGCATCAACCCACAAAACAAACAAAGAATCTCAATAAAAAAGGTAAGAGTGACCACCATGGTTGCCAGCAAGTGAAAGCTATCAAGGCGGTGAATAAAAAAAGCCTCAACATTGTCTAGATCACTTCCTCTTCGATTTTCACCTACGATTATTCTCACTGCCATAGGAGAAGGTGTGATCCACAACACGCCCCACCTTCTAACCATATAACTCTTGAAAATCATCTATATGCTCAACGACAGCAACTCCAACACCCCCGTAGGCCGAGGATAATAACTCATCCAACCAATCAGATAGTTACACAATATTGTTATTCAAATTTAAAGCCAATTGGGTTTTCAATTTAACATTAAAAATAATTGAAATTAATTGATAGTCCCTGTTAAATGAGCAACTTTATTTTTTTAAAAATCAAATAAAACATAAATTTAAATAAAAAACATATTACGTTTTTATAAACTATTCAATTAATTTTAATTTCCCTCTTTTTTTAATTTTTGACAGGTTTGTTTCTTTTTAATTATAAATTTTTAAAAGTAGCATTTAAAATTTTATTAAATATTTAAGAATACTAATATTTCAAAAAATGTTACTACAAAGATTTTTATTCCTAATATTTTTATTTTAATAACTACTAAAACTTTTCAATTATAAATAAAATAATAGTTATACTTAAAAAAAGAAACAAAACTGTAATATAACAAATTAAAATTAAGAAAATAAAGGAGGAAATTAAAATTAATCTAAATAAAAAAAAAACGTAATATATTTTAAAGTTTTTTTTAATAAAAAACCAATTTAAATTTACGTTTTCTTCAAAAAATATAAAATTGATTTAAAATATATAAAAAATTAATAGTGTGTACTATGCTATAACAAATCGCTCGTTCAAATGAAAACTTGACAAAATGTTTTAAAAATTTATTTTTATAATATTTAATTACATCATTAAATTTTTAATCATAACTAATTTTAAAATTTCCCAAATCTACTTCAACCCATAATTAATCACCACATTTTAACCAAGTATCATATTACATGGCCTTTGAATTACAAGTTTTAATTACGTCGGTAACCATCTTGAATAATTTTTGTGGCGATGTGAAGGAAAATTGAATAATTTGAGTCTTCCCGGGACCTCAAGGGCACATTAGAAGAATAAATAATCCCTCTTTTGGTCAACCACTACAATAGGTAAATATAAAAAGCTATATCATTGATGACTAACCAATGTTTTAAAATTGATGAGTAATTAAATTTTTGGAACCCATAACCAAAGCCAAATCTATAGAGTCCATCAATCCGACCAGACCTGAATAAACCAATCAATATCAAATACTGATCAACAAAACGTCTGTTGCATGGCCATAGACATGCCATATGCCAATCACAAGATGTTACCCGCATGTCAGATGGTTCGGTTCCAAATGGTTAGAGAAGGTTATACTTTAGATAATTTGAACCACAAATTTTTTTTTTTTTGAAGTATTTTATAGTTTATTGCTCATTTTCTTCCGGATAAAAAAATTTATCCACATATAGGCTACCTTAGCATGTTAGTTAAAAATTTTTGCAACAAAAAAAGATGTTAAATTTGAAGCCTTGGATATATAGTGAGATTATTATTTTTTATTTGATTGAAGTTCAAATGAATTTAAATTTGTGTAAAGTAATTTTTATTTTTTATTTTAAAAAACCACAAGAAGCTATATATTGCAGATCAATCGGAAAAAGAAATCACCACAGATGGAGCAGAAGAAATACCTCCAAGGTTGCCAAACAAGCTAAGGTTATCCAAGGAGACGTGCAAGAAACTAGCATACCACCCTATATTATAACATCCTATTTACATATCTAACACCTAAAACTTTAATATTACATCCATACCACCCTATATTATTTTAATATCAAATATACCACTTATATTTCTTTCCTACCACTCATATATTTCATTTCTACCACTCATATTTTGTATGAAAATGAACTATGAGTGGTATTTATGTAATATTAAAGTTTTAGGTGTTAAATATGTAAATAGAATAGTATTAAGTGATATGTATGTAAAACTCCCTAAAAAAAATTTAATAACATTTCAAATTTCTTAGAATTTTTTTTTTGAATTTATTTTAAGTTATGATCAAAATATTTGAATTTTTCTCATTCATTTATTTTTATATTCTATACCCTTGATAGTTAATACAGCAAATTAAATATCATTTAAATAATTTTTTAAGTTTTTCCTACAAGAGAAGTTTTATGCCGAATTGGTACGATTCAAATCTATAGACGAATGGGTGTACCACGTAGAACTAATACTACTTGCCAGCTGGCCGGCGCACGAGAGAACGCCGGCAAACCAACACATCAACGGTGGAGCCCGGCCACTCCTGTGCGGGACGGCGACGCCTGCCCCGTGAATATAATCATGACGGGCGCCAAGGTCAGACGGGGCGGCTGAACTAATAAGACCCCCTTTGCCCTCACAATTACAACTATTTCAACCATGTAAGGCGATTTTAGCAAGAGAATGGCCTGCAAACCGTGGATAAGGGTTCGATTTGTAAAATCGCGAAAAGAAGGATGTTTTTGTGGTAAAGTGCGCAGACGCGGTTCCATTTTCCTATCGCCATTACCGACCTTCCCTAGCTTTAAAACCCTAGAGCAGCAGCCAATTTTTTTCAGCTCGCGGGTGTTGCTCGTCGCCGATCCTGGTCGAAACGCTAGTTCCAGTACTAATAGGCTTGAGTGCATGGCGCAGAGGGAGGAGGAGACGGAGATCCGGGTGACGGAGACGCTTACCCTTTGTGTTAACAACTGCGGGTTCTACGGCAACCCGGCGACCAAGAACATGTGCCAAAGCTGCTTCCAGGCTGCTCATGCCAGACCGCCATCTCCTCTGCGCCCGACAAGCTCGGCGATAGCTAGATCCGGAGAGATCCGGTCGGCTGGACCAGCGGAGAAGGGGATTGACGCGGCTGTGGGAGAACAAGCGGAAACCAAGGTCACGGCAGCTCAGGCGAGGGTGTCAAACAGGTGTTCGGGGTGCCGGCGAAAGGTGGGGCTGACGGGTTTCCGCTGCCGTTGCGGGGAGCTGTTCTGCGGAGAGCACAGGTACTCCGACCGTCATGATTGCAGCTTTGACTACAAGGCTGCCGGCCGAGAGGCCATCAGCCGGGAGAATCCAGTTGTCAGAGCATCCAAGATCGTCAAGATTTGATCTCCCAATAAAGATTAAAGAGGTTTCTGCTGATGCATGCTTGTTCTCTCTGAGGGAGGGAGATAGAGACGAACTAAAGAACTATTGTTATACGATCAAATCAGTGAGAGATGGATGGACTTCTTTTTTATTGCCTTCTAAATAGAATTTAATTTATTGGAAAAGATGAGAGATGAAAGTCCTCGTAGTTGTGAATGTTCTAGTCATTGTATTCTCTGATACAAAATGGTGAATTATGCGCTTTTATGTAGCTCTCTTTTCTCATTTTATATAGTTTGCGCACTATATTTCTTCCAGTTTGAAAAAAACAAGAAACGATCATCTAAAGATGATTCCATATAGTAATTCTAAAATGAAAACATGTCCATATGCAACAGCTGAGGCTAAGATTGGCCTTCATCTGTTGCAGCGATCAGAGTGCCAAAAGTTTCTACAAACGATCCAATCAATAGGTAATATTTACACATAGTCACATATGAATGGAGTTTACCATTGACTCAAAAAAAAAAAAAAAAAACGCAGCAAGTAATGAGAGATGATTACCTGGGGTTGGGGTTGTTCGTCAGGTCCATCACTAAGCCCACACAGGAACTTGCAAGACTGAAGCCAGGAACCAAGTGCGCCACCACTGCTGAATGCCTCAGGTCACAGTCAATACTGTAGTGAAAGTGTTGCGAAACGAGTGTTTCACCTCATGGACATGAGATTCCGCAGCTGTGTAACCCGCTTGCTCTCGGGCTTCTTCATTTTGACCAAGTTTTTCTTCACAGCCTTCTCAATCTGCTCAATGGAATTCAAAAGAGTGCTTCCAGTTTCTGAAGTTTGTCCTTCGTCGACGTGACCGGTCAGAAGGGCTGGAGTCAGAGGGGCTGGAGTCTGAGGCGACTCATCAACTTGCAGAGGTGGTTCGGTGGTGATGCGAGGGCGAGATTTCATTGGCAAATTCATGGAGGGTTGAGAAGCTGTTGATGATGATTCCTGTGACGGTGGGTTGGTGATTTGAAGGTCAGGTGCGACTGAAGAAGAGGCAGCAGCTGTAACTGCTTGGATGCGCAAGCGCTTCTTCTCATAAGCCTTGAAAATTTCGAAACAAATAATGGTTGATAAATGCTTGACATGCGTAGAAACTACTGTGCAAAAGATTTATCTCAATAAAGAACCAATTCTAAATATTGAGACCAGGCTAATGATGATTAACAAAAAAAAAAAACCAGGATTTCATAGAGAATTTTCTTGAATCCGACATTGTAATCTTAAAAGTTAATAGGAGCCTGTCACAATTGAATGGTTTCAGACATCCCATTCACTAAAGTTCAATTGAAGAGCATTTTCAACTTCTGAATCACTAATATAGCAGGTTTAAAAAAAAAAAAAGTTGAAGCATTATTTCATACTCATCATGATTTTTAATTTAGCTTGCCTAAGTAAAAAAGAAATTATTATCAAATGACAACTTCTTATTAAGGTAAATTCTTCAATATGGAAGTGAATTGATGTATACCATATCATACTCGATTATTAGAAACAAAAACAAGAGTATTTCGCCACCTCCAAATCCAAACATATATGTATACAATATAGGTGAAATTGTGTTCTGTAAAAAGGAGATTGTTTTTGAGGTTGTTCATAATTCACAAACTAAAATAGATGTTATAATATTTGTTAAAATGAATTGGAAGACGCTTTGCCATCTAAGATCAACTTCATTTGATTATCCTCCACCTTTCTAAAAGATGGTTTTAAAACTATTGTTTTAGAAAACTAAATTTTCAAACGTAACAGTAAATATCCTAAAGCTTTTGAAAACAATATAAATATACAGTTCCCTAAAAAACATTTATGTAAAAGTGTCACCAACAAACAAAATTTCTGGATTTCGCCATTTGTTTTGGTGCAATCAGAGTCAATATGAATTTATAAATCTATAAACACCTTCAAAATCCCTAAAAATTGGAGATTTCGGTTTCACACTAAAAACTTTCTAAAACACGCTATTCCATATACAAGAAACAAAAGAGCGCATAAAGCTTCATACATGAAACAAAAAGAAATGCAAATAAACCAAAACATGTGCGGCAATTGGAACTGATTGCAAAGGAATGCACAATGCAAGCCTCATTGAAGTTTTTATTTTCATAAACAAGATATCAAAAAAGAGATAAATGCTGGACTCCACAAACCGACCTTCATAAAAAATTTAAAGGTTCTCAGTTGATGTGGGATATTGGGCTTCACATTCTCTCAATTTTTTATTGTATAAAGGAGGCATATAACCATTCACATTAGCCATGTGAAATCTGTATGATTAATGTAACAGAAAAAAAAAAAGCATCTGCACATAATTGAAACGAGAATCAAAACGTGAAATCTTTATCAATCAATGGTGCACTATTATTTGACGTTGGTATGCCTGCAGCAGCATATTACAAAAGAGAAATATGAAAGAAGTGACCTGTAAAGTTGCAATTTGGTAAGGCTAGAGTAATTGGCCGTAGATTATAAGTCAAAAGGCTCAAAACAAAGGATAATCTTTGAGGATTATTTTGGAATTAATCAATCCTAACTTTAAAGCTCTCAAATTTCTTTCATACGAAGAAGTTGGTCCCAAAATCTCTTCAGCAGAATTAGTCTTAATTGAGGGATAGGATTCAATATATTTAGTATACTAGCATAAAAAAAAAATACAGTTGGAAAAAAAAAAACTATTTGGTAGAAATAACAAATCCACATCTATTCTTAGGTGATCTTGAATCATTCTCCAATTGAGAATAGACTCTTGCCCTTTGCAAATGCTAGCTCCTCTACTCTTGAAAATTGATTGAGCGGTGAAAATAACAAAATTGAAGAATAAATCAATGATGCATACAGTGACTACTAGCGTTCACAAATTTCCAGAAGCGTGTAGTTCAATAAGATACAAAAAAGATACCATCTTACAAAGTTGATGTTCAGCAGCATATTACAAAACAAAACATCAAAATTACAGTGCAGTTAGCTAATTAATTTATCAAAAAATATCAACATTAAAACGAATCCAACATTTCAATCGTCAGAAAATGCATTTAATATATATAATCAATTATTCTGTAGTTCTTTAAACTAAAATTTTAATACAACCAAACAATTAATTAGTCCAGAATACACTACAAATCTTGAGGTAAACTATCTTGACGTTAACTAAGAAAAGTTCTTGAACTAAACTGAAGAGAACAAAAATATCAGTCATTTTGCATAAGAGAAATTATTATTTTAAATATTTGAACATTGAAGAACATGAACATGTGACAAAGGTTGCAAGAAACAGAAAACAATGAAATTAAATTTCTAAATTACCATGACGATTTATGAGAACTACTAATAAACCTTCCAAAAACTTTTCGGAATAGAGAGAAATCCTTTCTCAGGTTATCAAGAAATATTCCAATAAAAGAAAAATAGAGAAACAAACTGATGAATAGAAAAAACCCTAACTAACCGATGCATCCAAGAACCAATCGAAGTGGTGAAATAGAGCTAGTCGCATACCTTCACTATTGATGTTATGTCCCGAAGTGGTGTCCGTGGGTACCATTCTGGGAGTGGGCTCTTCCCCGGTCTCCGATGCCTCCCCGCCGGTGATCTGCGCCACCCATACGGGATGTTCTCCTTGTTATTCGTCGGAAAAAAGCGTCTGACCTTCCCCTGAGCAGCCATTTCCGGGGGAGAGTAATCCACTCGACGGATCCAGTATCCCCCGCCCATCATCGGCTCTCTCAACTCCGGCATTGTCTACTGCAAAAAAATTCAAACAAGACGCTCAATCGGGAAAAAAATCAGAGAATCCATAACAGAAACAGAACATGTGTCTTATGATTTTACCGATAAAGGGAGGTCGGATGGCCCCTCTTCTTCTCCGATGCTCCCGTCTTCGTCTTCTTCTCCGGAATGAAGTGAAAGGGAACTGGAAGCGCTGGGGATTTAAGAAGAACAGTGATTAGTAGCGGTGAGCAGATCGCGGAAGGGGCCAAGACCACTGGGATTTTGCGATGTGGTCACCATAGTCCGCCAATTTTCAAATGTTCAAAAATTGCAAAAGTAGAGGATGACTTGTTGACGGCAGGGTCCCGTTGCAAGTCCATCGGAGGGCTTGAAGTAAGCCACTCCTAATCGGACGATCATAAGTGACCGATGAATCGGATTGCATTCAAATGCGAGTGACGTGTCCTTATTTTAGGTTTGTTTGTCGGCCGTAAATTTTTATATATTAAGTACAAAATTATCGTAAAAAGTAAAAACTAAAAACTAAGGAATATTTACTCAAATCAGTTATTTAAATATCTAATACTCAAGAAGAAAAATTTGAAAAATAAATTCTATTTTTATGCATGCAAAAAAAAAATGATGAATTTTATGTAGCGAAATTATAAAAATGTAAATAAGTTATTATTTATTTACGTTCCAAAAATAATAATAATAAATTACAAAATCATAAGAGCCTAATGAAAGTTATGTTACTCCATAGCAGGTAAAGTAGAGTGCAAAATATTATTTTTGTTGTGATTTTGAAAATATTGATACTTGATTCGATGAAAAAAGAATGTAGTATAAATCTCCAACCGAATTGCTAACACTCTTGCAGCTATTGCGATCTGTCCACCCGAATGACATTCATTGTGCTATTTATGTGGTTGTGAACAATGTGACCCTAATATTAGCACCGCTAAGTTCACAAAGCCTTTTTTTTAATTATTAAATTATCTTAAATTATCAAATTTTAAGATTTTGATTCCAAATATATTAGTTTTAACTTATGTTATTAATTTTCTAATTTTGATATGTTTAAGTTTTTTTATGTAAATAATTTAAAATGCAATAGTAGATATGAGAAAATATACACATAATATTCTTTTTTGGTGTTAGAAATGGAGTTCGTTTGGAGTTGAATTGCAGTTTTTGAAATGGAAAATGAGTTTTTCGGTAGGAGATGCCCTAAATGTAATGCAAAGTATTCTAGCTTATTTTTTTTAGGTAAAGTAAACTAGCTCATTTTTTGTCGCCGTCATTTACCATCGGTGACCACCACACCCATCACCAGTCGTTGGCCACCACCGCCATCGTGGGCTAGTTTCCACCTCCAGCCGACTACCGTCATTTTGAACTCTACATAATATTTATTCTGCTTTAAATAATAATAATAAAAAAGCTCAGACATTTTTTTATACTCATTCAAATAACTTCAACATTTCAAATACATTTTATTCCTATTACTCTGCATTACTTTTTTAACAAATGAAACAACCCCTAAAATTTTTATTTTTATTTTTTTATTTTTTTATTTTAAACTAAAGACATTTAGAAAATATTTTAGTTTAAATTTATTTTATGTTCTCTATAATTGAAATGAAAAATAAGTAGAGCTAAATTGGCTCTATTTCTTCTGTATTAATTTATTTTGCAAGGGATTTTATAGTTGACTAATCAAATTATTGTAATAGCTTAATTCTAACGAAAAAAATATATATAAGAATATTTCGATGTATTTATATATGTTAATATAAGTTACACTAATTCAACAAAATAAAAAGTCATTTAAGCTCATTTTATCACAAATTAAATCAATATATTCTTATATAAAAATTTTTCCCAATTCAAAACATCTATGGATCCATAATCTTATTTAAATACGACCAATAAATCTCAATCATTTATATAATAATAATAATAATAATAGAGTGGGAGTTTAATGTCACATTATTGCTCAAAAATCTAATTCACACAAAAAATTATAGGGGACTTAAATTTTTATACTGGGAAAATCAAGGAGGGGAAAATCATGAAATCTGGCCAAATTGCAATAATACATTATATAATAGAAGATAAAAAAATTCTCCCTTCCTCAACATCGATTAATTCTAAATAGTTTGAAGAATATCAAAAATGGTTGGAGACTTGGAGTATAATGTACATAAAGATGTTGTGTTTTGTTTATACTATTATCTATTCAAACATCAAGAATACACAATTATAAGTTAAGGTGTTGGTGATTCATTCATTGGTGAAGAATTCAAAAAATAGAAGAGAGAAGAAAAATTATTAGCTAATGTTGGGAAACATAGTAGAGGTCACAACAAAGCAAGAAAGAACTGTGAAGATTTAATTAATATGAAATTATAGAGTGTTCATACTTTATGGCTTAATAAAATTGATAGGAATAAAAAAGAATACCGGGTCTTATTGTGTGCTGTTGTTGAAATCTAATGCAATGTTTGTCATTTCATGGTCATGATGAGGCATTTGATTTCGATAACAAAGGCAATTATTTTGAGTTATTTCATTTTCTTGCTGATGATAATGAAGAAATCAAGCATGTTAATTTTAAAAATGCAAGTGCAAAATTATAGTTGATTTCACCAAAAGTTTATAAAAAAATTTGTTGTGCAGCAGCTACTGAAATATTAGTTTCCCTAATGAATAACTTTGACAATTCTTACTTCACCATTCTTGTAGATGAGACTCATGACATGTCAACAAAAAGACCAGTTGATTGTGGTTGTGAGATATGTGGATAACAAAGGAAAAGTTATTGATATCAAATATATTTCTTCAACTAATGCAGTTACACTTAAAGCGGTGTTTGAAGCAATACATGACAAGCATTCATTGAGCTTTCATAGGATACGTAATCAAGGTTATGATGGGACATCCAATATGCGAGAGAAATTTAATGGTTTGAATGCACTTATTCTAAAAGATGGTCATCAAGCATTGTATGTTCACTATTTTTCCCATAAACTCCAACTATGCGTGGTAGCTATAGCTAATAATCAATGACAAGTGAAACATCTGTTTGAGTTCAGTTCGAGAATTATAAATACTATTGGGGCAATCTATAAGAGATTAAGAGATCAAATGCTCTTAAAGCTATTCAGCATGATAAGATACATATACATCTTAAAACTGAGAATCTAATAAGCGATTGAGGAAATCAAAAGACCAATTTATAAAGATTTAGTGATACTTGATGAATTTCATATTTTCATATTTTAATTAGTCTCAAGAGAATATATGCTTCTGTAATTGAGGTGCTTGAGATTGTTAAAAAAGAAGGCGGATGATCAACATTCAGATGAAGTAGGTGTTTTGATTGATGTAATGAAGTCTTTTGATTTTATTTTCACAATTCATTCCATGAAATTGGTGCAAAAATCTAAACAACAACTATTAATATTGAGGGATAATGGATGGAGTACTTTACAACATAAAGTGTCACATTTTTGTAATATTTTTGAAGTTGATGTTTCAATATGAATGATACATACAAAGCTCAACGTCGATCAATGTGAAGAGGTGAAGAAATAATAAACTTATATCATTATCATGTTTAGCTATTCTATATTATAGTTGACATGCAACTTTTAGGGCTAAATAATCATTTTTATGAATTTAGTATTAAGTTGCTTCTTTGTGTGGCATGCTTAAACCCAAGTGATTCCTTTTTTTGCTTATGATAAGAGAAAATTAATATGTCTAGCATAGTTATATCTAAGTAACTTTTCTACATTTGAGCTTGTGGCTCTTAAAAATCACTTATTAATTTATATTATTGATATACGTATCTGTGATGAGTTCTCCCCTCTAAAAAGTATTGTCGATATTGCAAATCAACTTATTAAGGTCAAGAAGGATGTATATTTCCTCTAGTTTATGGACTTATTTTTTTGCATTATGTTCACCGGTTGCTACTGCTACAGTATAGAGCATTTTCTGCAATAAATATTATCAAATATCTTAGGTCAAACACCATCAAACGGTCATCATGACTAATGAAAATAGTTGCACTATGAAAAATAAAAAGAAAGGATAGAATAATTAATGATGCAAAAAGGAGATTGTTTAACTTAAAAGTGTTTTTCCCTTTTTTAAGAACTATATAGAACATAGGAGGATGTGCCACGCTTTTATGATAGTCAAAACATACATAATCTATCTATATGTATATAGTCTAATTATCAATACATTATTAGCCAACTATTTAAAGAATTTTTTTGCAATTAAATAAAATCATAAGGGCCAAAAAATCTTATTGACACCTCCAATACATCTTAAGCTTTTTTATTCATGTGGGAGATTGTTAAAGTTATTGAACCAAATTTTCATCTTTATCAAGTCTTTAGATGATCTGATTAAGATCTTCCTTGAATTAAAAATATTGTATCACTATTTGTAAATTTTTGTTTACATAATTTTTTTATAATATGGGATCATTTGTTTTAGCAGTGCAAACAAAACATGAAAAATTGAAGCAGAACTATGCCAAAGTGGAATTGAACTGGACTGATTGGTCTTGAGCTTGTTACTACAACTCTACTCATCTATACTATTTGATTCTTAGCAGCTTTGTACTCATCTCCATAGAACGCCCACACACCAGTGCACAGAAATAGTACGGCCCTTTTCAATAACTTCTTAGTAGATAGTAGATACAACATGAATAAGAGCACATCAAAATGTGCATAAACAAAAACAGTTTGCTCACTAAGGCTTCGTTTGGGACGATTTTTTTCTTGCTTTATAAAGCAGCTTTCTAATACAAAAATTTTTTGAATTTGAATTTTTTTGACTAGAAAGCGGTTTTAAAAAGAAGTACGAAAGCTGTAGGCTTTGTTTGGGACAGCATTCTTTTTGCTTCTTAAAGCAGTTTTCTACAACAACAACCACATCAAGCCTTTATCTCACTACGTGGGGTCGGCTACATGAATCATTTTTCTCCATTGTGTCCTATTAAAGCAGCTTTCTAGTAGAAAAAAAAATAATTTTTGTACTAAAATTTTGCTTTAAGCAGCAGTAAGAAAGCCGTCCCAAACAAAGCTTAAGTAGACATACAACATGAACTCTGGTTTCCACCTGTTGGCTCTGGAGGGATAGCTATTTCGGTTCCTTTAAGAAGGCTGGAGTTTCCACTAGATTCTGACTCATCATTGGCAACAAGAGCCTTCTTACTGATTATACGGTATATCTCTGTGAGGACAGTAAGGAAGGCAGCTTCAACATTAGTGGATTCAAGAGCCGAAGTTTCCATGAAGAATAGGTTCTCTCGCTGTGCAAATTCCTTTGCATCCTCGCTGGGGACAGCCCTAAGTGTGCTTAGATCAGACTTATTTCCAATGAGCATAACAATAATGTTCTTGTCAGCATGGCCGCGTAGTTCCTCCAACCACCTAACTACATGATCAAAAGATTGTCGTTTGGTCATGTCATAAACTAGCATTGCTCCTACAGCTCCTCTATAATACGCACTTGTCACAGCTCGGTATCTGATGATAAGCAGTAATTCAGAAAAAAAAAAAAAAAAAGAGATTAGATTTCATATATGAAAGATTTACATTTGAAAGGTTACATACATACAAACATTTTCTAGAACTTTTGCTATCATTCAAACTATGTTCACTGAGGCTTCATTTGAGACGGGTTTTTTACTACTTCGTGAAGCAGCTTTCTAGTATAAAAATTTTAATATTTGTGCTAGGAAGTTGCTTTATGAAACAGTAAGAAAATCATCCCAAATAAAGCCTAAGACTTCGATTGGGATTGCTTTTTTACTGATTCGTGAAGCAGCTTTTTAATGCAAAATTTTTAATTTTTGTACTAAAAAGTTGCTTTAAGAAGCAGTATGAAAGTCATCCCAAAAGAAGCCTAAGCCTAACAAGATTAATATTTTCTGGAGAGGAGGTTACTTCATTAAAAGCCTTAGCAATATGAAAGAAAGAGTTTGCGAAGATATATAATTCATGATGATATGATCATTCTTCATTGACTTAGATTTTGATGGTTTAATGAAAGATCAAAACCGCTCATTCTCTATAACATCATTAAAACTAGTGGTATGCGTGATTTTCGTAGATTGTAAGATTGGTTGAACGACAATTGAATGCATCAAAATTTTACAATAAATGGCTTCAATTGCATAATAAAATGATAAATGCAAATAAATTGAACTTAAATAAATGGCTTCATGAAAATATCTTGCATGTATTGAATGTTTTGATTGGTGAAATATATGAATAAACTTAGACTTTCAAAAAAGTTTTTATATGCCGTTTGAATATTTCTTATATTTTTCATATGCATGATAAACTATTAAATTATCATTAAAATTGATGGAATTCATCCACATTATTTTTATATTGTAGATCATAATCAACAACTTGATTTGAGTATGAAGATTATATTGTAGAAAGTTTGCCTTTTGATTCATATACTACAAAGTATAGAAAAAGTTATCCTAATGGTTTAAGAAAAAATCATATAAATTTAGTATTTAGAAAGCTATTTTTCTCTATATACAATGGTTAAATCGATCTGAGTTAACCCCAAACTCAACTATTATATTGTTTCAATTAAACAGTCTTTTTGGAGTATTGCTTTAGCTGATGCAGTGATAAACTAATAATTATGATTTGCATTTGGTACTAAATGTGTGCATTTAGATTACTTACAATTTAGACATTATATTTAATCTTTTATTTTGAGTAAAGATTATGTATAATTATATATTTAAAAAAGTAATTATTGATGCTGTTTATATTTATATTGTGGTTCGACAGCATATTTCAGTTGTCATATATTATCTTATTATGTTTCATAATGTGGAAGTAGTTGTATTTCAATCATTAGATCTCTTACATGAAATTAAAACAAATGATCTAAATAATAAAAATCAATAATCTTTATAAAACATAATTACAAGACAAAATGCACATATAACCTAAACTCAATAGAAGCAAGATAGAAATAAATATTATGTTATTAAAAAAATTCATCATGATCCACAACTTTTTCGTCTAGCAGAATGTCCCTTCTCCTCATACCGGTCGATCCTCCGCAGCTTTATGTGAAAGCCTCCGTTATTATTAAGGGAGGAAACATTGTTAAATTTTAAAAGGAAGGCATGCTTAATGGAGCTACCCAAAAAATCCTCTTTTTCACCTTCGACGTTAACTTTGGCTGAAATTTCTGTCAAATTCTAAGAAAAGGACTGTTTTGGATTATATTTGATGAGTCAAGAGACTAAACTTAGTCTGGAATTAAAATGACCACCAAAAATGGTCCAGTGATCATTTGCAAGTGGAATCAACAAGACCTAAGAAGCTAACAGTTTCATCATCTATAAAATACATACCTGGCTCAATCACTAGAATATGAAGAACTAATTGCTCCTGAAGATTCAACAGGACTAATAGGAAGTATGGATCGATAAGGTTTAATAGTTTTCATCAATCTTTTAAGTCAAATGAGAGCAAATCTATTCTGTTATGATTCCTGATTGTCAGTGACAACAGGGGTTGTGTTCTTGCTCAAAAAGAGAAAAATGAGACAAATGCTAGCTGCCAATTTTTATTACGGAAAAATTAATATATATTATGAAAAAATTCATCCAATTAGGCACGAATTCTGACACAATATTCAGACCTCAAATTGCACAAATCTTCAAAACAGAAATCTTCTTATTTAAAGTTGATACCATTTTAGCTTTGTTTATAACAAATTTATAATCAAAACAGGCATCTCAAGGAAATGAAATCAATGATACTAAATTTAAATGGATCTAAATTAAACACTCAAAAAGTATAATTGAAAATTTCTCAAACAATAAGAGCCCAAGATCACTCAATTATGATATTACTAAAAAACTAAGACATCTAAAAAATCTCAAATGATCAAGGGGGAGCATCTTCGACGATAGGGTGTCCAGATTTCTAATAAAAATATCAATTACAGAGAAGCATTACTTCCACACATTCCAGAAGGATTCCAAACGAGATAATTTTGATACTCAAACAATTTCAAGGCTCTATCTGCCAGCACTTGACATTTATCATCGACTGTCACTGATATGAGTAAATGTTTATCGACGAAACCCATTGGTATTTGCCACCGATCGCAACGATTTTCATCGTCAACCATGAATCACCACTGAAACCCATCATCATCTATCATTCATGCCCCTCATCAACGTCCATTATGACTGCCATCAATGATCGTTGTTGAATCAAGTTAAAGTATGTTGAGTTGTACCAAACCAGTCTAAACCCTTCGCACAACCCAACCAACCTCCTCTGCAATCACGTGAATCGCACAATATCTCTCACTCAAATCCAAAGTCGCTCATCATGCTTCTTTCATTCTTGATATAAGGACAAGGAGAGTGTTAGGGCATTGCATGCCCTTTCTTTCGCATCCAACCTTCCTCCAGAGCTGCCAAGCTTCCCTCCTTGCTCCTAACTCCTTTATTGCAGCCGCCAATTAGAAGCCTTCACTCTTCGTCAATAAAATTTCTAGTTTCTTTTGATTCCACTCTCTTTCACTGTTTTCTTCTTCCTCTTGTCATTCTCGAATTCCCTCTTTTTTTTCTTTATAGTTGTACCAGTGTTGGCACTTCAACCTTTGAAATCATTTGTCGTCTTGGTCGTCACTTAAAATTGGAGAAACTTGTAGGTAATCTCATCATTCTTTTTCCTTCTCTTTTTCTTTAGTTCATAAGCATAGATTAATCAAAGCTAATTGTTTTTTTTAATTATAGGTTTAAATATAAAGTTAATTAGTTTTATGATTGCATTAGCATCAGGATATTAGTATGGCTTAATTCTATAGCATCAGGATATTAGTATGGCTTAATTCTACATCAATAAAAACTTTACCTGACTAGATTTTTGGGTATAAACTAGGTCAAATAAGGTCACACCTATTTCAATCACTATAGTTTTTAAGACCTTTTTTGTGCATGTTGTGTAGGAATTTCAAGTTGAATCTCATTTGGTGTCATTATTTTATATCAATTGACATTAAAATTCGTATTACTTGCTTAAGGGTTAGTAACTGTTGTTTGTTAATAAAGGATAAATATATTATTATGAGAATTATCCTAAATATAGGCTGTTAGTTCTACTTTCAGTACTTAATTAATATATCTTGCTTATTATTCATAATGAATTTATCATGCAGTATAAACAGCATTGCCTTGATATCTTCTTACACAGACTCCTATCCATTGAATTTAATATATGTAGTAGAGAATATATTTTACACATATTAGTTCTATTAAATGTAATAAATGTTATCCCAACAGATTATATTTGTTATAGAATTAATACTTGTCATATTGACTATATAATACTTATTGTAAATTTGTTTATGAAAAACATGAAAATTATATGCATGTGTATAATGATATGTAGGTCGATAGAACCCTTTTGGGTATTGGCTAGCCAAGCCGACAAGCTTATAAAGGACTAACTCAAGAGGAAATTAATGGGTCTTCTTAGGCTAGTGTTTACCTTTTTAGTGCAAGGTGATAGATAAAACCTACTATAGATATATATAAATAAGTATAAGTTGAAAATAATAAATGACCGATAAGTTGTAATTTGAGAATTATGATAATATGATGATATGGTGGTGGGGCTTACATCACTGATGTGATTAATTGGTGGATGTGGGGAGTATTCTAAGATGATTAGAAGAGTTAATATTAATTTAGAGGAGTTAAATTTGAATGTGCAAATAAGACTTAAAGAGTTTAGGAAGTAAGCTATAATTTTTACAATTTGCCAGAAATAGAAACTCAATCCTCTTCCAAATGATTCTTTCACTATAGAACCCCAAATCAAGCAAACTTGTACTGGATTTGTAAGAGAGGATGTCGTCTTTAATTTTAGAGAGTTTGGCAAGGATTAGAAAATATTTGGTGGGTAAATTTTGCTCTGAAGTAGTTTAGGTCAATTTTGCTCAGAACTGATCAAGGTTGGGGATTTGACTGTCGATTTCTATAGATCAGGTGGAATTCCAAAATTCTACTTGAATGACTCAAACACATCCTCAATATGGGGTTTGAAAGTTTTTATATTTTTTGTGGAGTTATGATTTTTTGTGGGTATTTTGTTGGCTGAAAACTTGCTACATAACTGAACTAGCAAACAAGAAATATAATTTGGGTTGCACTGATCTCCAAAATTTGACTAAAAGTGCCCAAAATAAATTTAGGGTTATTAAAGTATAAGAAGTGCACTAAAGATCAAAAGATTTTGGTGGGGTTTTGAGTAGTGTAGGCAGGTCAAATGTTTCCAAGAATGGAATTGGTCCAACAACTCCAAAAAACATAGCCAACCCTAACTATGGGGAATTTACTTGCACTAAGAGGGACAATTGGGAATTATATAAAGTGGCTCGTAAGGATTCTAAGAAAGCAATATGCGATGCAAAGACATTAGCTTTTAGCGATTTATATAATAGATTAAATACTAAGAAGGGAGAAAGATATATGTATAAGTTAGCCAAACAAAGAGATATGAGTAGTAAGGATTTAGTTCAAGTGAAGTGTATTAAGGATGAAGATCAAAAAATACTTTTCTTAGAAGATGATATTCAACAAAGGTGGATGAGATATTTTGCTAAACTTTTTAATGAAGTGTGTGATAATAAGATTGACTATAGTGACCTTAGCACCCTAAATGAAAGTAAAGATTTCTGTTTTTATCGGCGTATTAGTAAAACTGAAGTTAGAGAGGCTTTAAATAGAATGAAGGGTGGAAAAGCTGTTGGACCCGATGATATTCCAATAGAGGTGTGGAAATGTTTAGGAGATGAAGGGATTTCTTGGCTTACTAAACTTTTTAATACTATTTTGAAGACTAAAAAGATGCCAGATGAGTGGAGAATGAGTGTATTAATTCCTATTTTTAAGAATAAAGGCGATGCACAGGATTGCACGAATTATAGAGGTATTAAGTTAATGTGTCATACTTTAAAATTATGGGAGCGAGTTATAGAGCATAGGTTGCGGCGTGATACTAATGTTTCTCAAAATCAATTTGGATTTATGCCGGGTAGGTCGACTATGGAAGCCATACATTTATTCAGAGGTTTGATGGAAAAATATAGAGGAAATAAGGAGGATCTACATATGATATTTATTGATTTAGAAAAAGCATATGATAAAGTTCCAAGAGAAGTGCTATGGAGAGTTCTTGATAAGAAAGGAGTCATTAATGCTTATATTCAAATCATTAAAAATATGTATGCAGGAGCTATTACTTGTGTTCAAACACAAGGTGGTTTGACCAAGTATTTCCCTATTTCGGTTGGGTTACATCAAGGATCAGCCTTAAGCCCATATCTATTTGCTTTAGTCATGGATGTTCTCACTAGACATTTGCAAGATGATGTACCTTGGTGTATGCTTTTTGCTGATGATATTCTTCTTGTTGATAAGACTAGAGAGGGAGTTGAAGGTAAACTTGAATTATGGAGGTCAACCTTAGAGTCTAAAGGTTTTCGCTTGAGTAGATCTAAAACGGAATATATGGAGTGTAATTTTAGCAGTAATAGTCCTAGTGAGGGGATTGTGACTTTGGGCGATCAAGTCATTAATAAGAGTACACGTTTTAGGTATCTTGGATCTATTGTTCAGAGTGATGGTGAAATAGATGGGGATATTATCAGCAGAATTCAAGTTGGATGGTTGAAGTGGCGGAATGCATCGGGCTTGTTATGTGATAGAAATGTACCCCTCAAACTTAAGGGAAAATTCTATAAGATGGTAGTGAGGCCTGCAATGCTTTATGGTGCCGAATGTTGGCCATTAAAAGAGAAGCATAATACTAAGTTAAGTGTGGCAGAGATGAGGATGCTTAGATGGATGAGTGGCTTTACCCTTAGAGATAGGATACGAAATGAGCATATACGTGAAAAGGTTGGAGTAGCTCCAGTAGAAGATAAGATTAGAGAGAGTCGCCTTAGATGGTTTGGTCACATAAAAAGGCGGCCTTCCGACGACCCAGTTAGGAGAGTAGAGGTATTAGATTTGACTTGTGTTAAGAAAGGTAGGGGTAGACCTAAAAAGACTTGGTTAGAAAATATTAGGAATGACCTTTCTTTATTAGATTTAAACGAGAATTTGGCTTTTAATAGGACACAATGGAGAAAAAGGATTCATGTAGCCGACCCCACGTAGTGGGATAAAGGCTTGATGTTGTTTGTTGTTGTTGTTGTAAGAGGGACAAAGTGGGATTTAGTATTTTTCTAAGATGGAATACCAAAAATAGAAAACAAAGAAAGAAGATTGCAATAAAGACAAGTGTAGAAAAATATAAATCATGCTTACCAAACTAGAGGATCAAGTAGATCACCCAATCTCCTTGACTATGGCCAACCACCAAATTAGTTGAAATTTTCTCCAAAACATGTAAGCAAATCAATCTTTTTTTCATTTCAACCAAAAGAAGTTCTTATAAACGAACACAACTTGAAGAATCACATCTCTTCATCCAAATTCAAAACAAAGAGGGAAAAGGAGAGGAGGGAGAGCCAACCCCTTGCTGGGCTCACTAGAAACCACCATAATTACTTGTTCTTTCATGCTTAGCCGGCCCCATCAATCCTAGCCACTTGCCTGGCCAACCACATCACTCCCTACCCACTTCACTCTACTCTTCCCAGCCCTTCTAAACATAAAGTAGTCATTTGACATATAAAATCCACACAACAATAAATCTCACACAATATAATATTTAAACATGAAAATATCTTTTAAAAAATATCATAAAATAATGTAATATTTATAGCTTCTTCATGGCTTGAGCTTCATATGCTCTTACCCTTGTTCTAGTGATAGAGTCACCACCATGTGATACATCAAAATAACTTGTATGGTTGCAAATAGATACAGTTGAATGATACTTTATTAATAATAGTTTGACATACACACTTATAATATCATCATACTAGAATATGGCTTAGAAATTATAACATGTTTCATTTACACATTGATGAAATTGATTATTTGTTGTTATGCAATCATCAGTACCTTTTTTCATGATGTTGTTTATGCTTTAATAGATAGGAGTAGCTTGTTATGTTTAACTTATTAAACTCATTCGTTACAAAATTTTCTCATAGCAGGTTCTATCGAAGCGCTTAGTGGACCATCCCCATAAGAACAGCTTTATCAATAGTAGGATATTTTAAGATTTTATAGTAGGCTATTTGTATTTTCTTTTAGGTTTAGTTAGCTTTACTTCTGCAGTTGTTTCATTAAATTTTCTTTCATTTGTTGTTATTCCTATTTTATTGATGTACTCTCATTTTAATTTATAGTAATTAAATGAAATTTTAGTTTATTTTCCTTACTCTGATATATTTTGTTTATATTATTTATATATGAACTTTTTTTGTGAATACAAAATATATTTTTTTTATCCCTTTATCATATCCTAAGTTGTCGGGGTGTAACACCTGTTGGTATAATTTTGTCATCATACTCAACAGATTGAGATATTTTGTGATCAAGCACGATATAGAAAATAATATATTATCCCAAAGAACAAAAATAATATTTAGCTATGTATTATTTATAAAAATAAAACATCTAATGTATGCATAGTTCAAAAATTGCACAGCTTGAATTCCACTTAATGTATTTAATGAAAGCCTGTAGTGAGCTGTTTTTTTTAGGTAAAGGTGCTTTGTTCTTTCAAAAAAAAAAATTATTTTTTAAAACCTGCTCCTCTTTTCTCAATAAAAAAGCATGTTCTTTCAGCACACTTCTTCTCCTAATGGGCGACCAGGCGTTTCAACTTCTCTGACCGCTATAGCTCCGGCGAGGAGGCATTCTAAATTCTCCGGCAAGGCAAGCTCATGAATCGAGCTCGAGCTCGAGTTCAAGCTTATCTCAGAATTGATGAGCCGAGCTCGAGCAAGCTCAAACTCATGCTCGATTCGACTTGATGACACCCTTAGGCTGGACGCACGTAGGAAGAAGATGAGTCCTTTGCTCTCTCTCTCATTTCCTTTATCTAGACACACACTAGCAGAAGAACTGAATGGCCTCTCCCTCCCTTAACTTCCTCTATACATGAAATGAGGACCTACTGGCCAATCATGCTGTAGCCGCTTGTATCTGCTTCAAATTGAGGAGATCGTGTGATTTGACAGGTCAACAGTGGCACAGGTTTGAAAATTGTGGGCAATCGTAGCTTTTGATCACAAATATTTGATTTGGAAGTAGATTTGAGCCCAAATTGAACCCAATTTGGATAGATTTGATTTGATCAAGCTAATTTTATAAAATTGGACTTGAATCGATGCCAATTTGAATCAATTTGGGTTTGACGGGGCTCAATTAAGTTGATCAGATTCAATCGAACCCAATTCAACTCGATCCAAAATTTGTGTGAACACCGCCTTCCAAACTTGAGATGTGATAGTTGTCAACTGCCTCTAACGCTCATCATTTGTCATTTTTCATCTCCTACCATTGAATGAAGCTGACATCTATCATCGTCCACCACTATCACTTGTTACCTTACTAGTAATCTTACGTTCTTTGATGGCCGAAAAGGGTGAATTTCAACATATGTAATATAATTATTTCAACTGAATCAGAGTTTGTGGTTTTTTTTTTTTTCCTTCTTGGCATTTTTTCACCTAAAAAGGATACTGAATCTTGTGAGTCACAGATTATGTATTAAATTTCTATACAACACTAAGACTATAAATCATTTCTATCCCATCCATTCTCAAAGCACTAATCCAAGTCATGTATAACCACAACTCCAAAAATCAAATTTAACCGAAACTTCATGTATCATGCACCAAATTCGGTCAACAACTTTACAATAATCAAAACCAACACACATACAACTCTAAGATTTTAATCACTCCTTAAAACCAATAATCGATCAACAAGAAAAACCAAGATCCAATGAAAAGGAACAGGAATCCGAAGGAATTAAAAACCCCTAAATACCTCTCCTGTCCAGCCGTGTCCCAAATCTGTGCCTTGATGGTCTTATGATCTATGTTGAGCGTCCTCGTTTGAAACTCCACCCCGACTGTAGCTTTCGAATCTAAGCTAAACTCGTTTCTCGAAAACCTCGCCAACAGCTGCGACTTCCCCACCGCAGAGTCCCCAATCAACACCACCTTGAAAACGTAATCGATCTTCTGGTTAAACTCCCCATGCTTGTTAGCCATCGCCCACGATCCGATTGATCCAAATAACCTTACTAAATACTCACAACAAATCTCGACGGGACGGAGGAGATCTGGAGAGGAGAAGGGAGAAGTCCCCGTTTCTCATGAGATCTCTATCCCTACTCCAATTTGGTACCTACTGCTTCGCTTAACCCGCCGGCGCGACTGTGTTTTGATCAGCATTAGACTTTCGATTTGTATTGTCTTTACAACGGTGGAAGGGAGTGGAGGTCAGATGAAGGAGAGACGCAAAATGCGGGAAGAGGAGGTGGTGAAGAACGAAAGGGTTATGGACAAATGCCAACGGCTCTTGGCCTCAACAAAACTACTTTGTTTTTGTTTTGTTTTTTTTTCGTTTTTTTTTTTAATCTGATAGTTTCTTAACTAAGTCATTCCGAAAGTGAATGGAATAATGATTGCGTGGTTAGGGAATTTTTATTAGGTCCGGACATCTGATGTAGCTCTACATTCAGACGCCAATAAAAAGTTGCCACGTGCTCTTATTCTTTACCGCGTGGCCCGACGACCCGACCCGGACCGGAACCCGGTATTGCTATGTTCGTGTATTGCTAGGTATTGCTTGGCAATAACAAGAAATATCGCTCTGTCAAGACCAATACCGAGCAATACCTAGCAAAACCAAAGTATTGCTCGGTATTGCTAGGTATTGGTTTTGAGAGAATGGTATTTCTCGTTACCGAATAATACCGAGCAAAACCTAGCAATACCCTGGTCTGTACGAATCAACTAATACATAACAATACCGGGTTCCGGTCCGAGTCGGGTTATCGGGCCGCGCGGTAAAAAGTAATAGCATGTGGCAACATTTTATTGGCTTCCGGATGTAGAGTTACGTTAGGTTTTCGGACCTAATAAAAATTCGTGGTTATGGGAGGCTAAAGTTAGATAAGAAGAAAAAGAAATGGGAAATAAAATGAAGTAAATAACTTGCTTGTCCGTCGGCCAAACAAACAACTCCTTCATAAAATTGACTGCCAAAACACAAATACAATCATACATAGTAATATTAATTCTCGCATGGTAAGTGGTTAGAGGATTCTCTCTCCATTATTAATTCAAATTCAAATATAATAGCAACTACTAACTATTATAACTATTCTTTGTTCATATATAGTTTCCTCCTCTAACATTGACTACGAGTTATATATTCATTAAGATAAATTATTTTTTTCTGCATTTTGACGCCAATTTTGACTTGAATAATCAGTTTTTTTTTTTTTTTTTTCATACGAGGGACTATTCTTCTTCCCCTTCACTGCCAACTTCACAGTATAGCGTCCCCTTCTTTCATGAAACAAACTAATCTTCCTCCTTTCATCATTAGGTTATTCTCTCCTTCCATTGATGGCTCAATGTATGTAGATTATTTCGTATTAAACTACTCTAAATATCATCTCTCATGTTCTATTTATCTTATACTTTCTCTTTCTAATTTCAAAATATATTTCTTCAAACAGTAGCATAGCTCATAATATAGCTCCGAATATTGCAAATCTTTATTCAGAACCTAACTGTCTTCTCAAATAAGATCAATTATCACCATCTCTATAAGAATGCAATAAATATCACCACACATTTGGTACTGTCTATGCAAACCTTATCATTCCATTATGAAAAAAGAACATAATAGATGAATCACAGCTATACAACAATACTCCTCAAATTGATCCTCTGTATTTTTGGAGAAATTATTCTGTACTGAGTACATATCCTATAAAAATTGATCACATCATCTGTACACATAAGGGCTGTTTGGTAGCATTCTGGATTTGATTTAAGTAGGATTACGTGAATCCTCTAAATCCGGATTTCGGAAATCCTGAGAGGCTTAAATCCTGAAAACTGTTTGGTAACATTCATGATAAATCCTCTTAACTTTCATGTGACTGTTTTGCTACAGAGCAGGATTTACTGAGCAGATTCTTCATCTAACACCATGGATTTCAGAAATCCTGCAAAATACAGGATTTCAGAAATCCGGGATTTAGAGCGAATCGGCGGATTTTTCCGTCTACGGAGGATTTCGTTCGCCGTGAGATTTGGTTTTACATTCTAGGTCGTTTGGCTGGATTTCGCTCAAATCCGCCTCAAATCCAACCTAAATCCTGCTACCAAACAGCCCCAGAGTGTGTATTATACACACTCTATGTATAAGATTGTACACATGTTGTGTACAGACGACATGGCCTATTTTGATTGGAATCCAAACATAAGTTACGTCCATACTCCGCACAAAATAATTTCTCATATTTTTGAAGGCATCACTCCAAGAGTCTCTACAACATTAAATCATAGGTCTCATGAAAATTTTTAGCTTTACTTTTCAATGTCAATCTCCGCAAATGTCACTACATCAAAAATCCTCTGCCAAATTCACTGGCATGGGAAAAGGGTATCATCATATTAATAAATTAAAAAAAAATCATTAATTCTTTAAGCTACATCTCATTGAACCAACCATGATATATTTAATAAATAAAATTGCTACCAAAATCTGAAATCATCAAAATAACAATAATATTACCATCCAGAAAAAATTGGATCAAACCGCACCTCAATCTGTTTTCTTCTGAGAAGTCTTCATGTTCTTATCTTCCTTCAAGCTTTTTCTCCGAGACTTCTTATTATCCATACTTGGAGAAACTAATTTCCTTTGCCTCACTACAGGATTTGCTTCAAATTGACTTTGCCTCACTGTAGTATTTGCTTCAACTTTCCTGCTCATACGATTTTCCTTGAGAGGACTGATTGGCCGCTGTTCTTTTGAGACAAAAGAACTCAGAGGCATTGCTGAGACTTGCCTGCTCTGTTCCATACTTCGCAGAAGAACCGGATTCACTCTATCCCTGTCAGGAGAATCACGGTCCGAAGAAGAGGAGCTGGTGCTGCTCATGTCATAGAGAATATTTTCCGTCATGCGTGGAAGTTGTTTGGTGGTTGAAATGACAGAAGAAGAAGAAGAAGGCGAGGATTGTCTTCGAAGCCTTAATAATTTGCTAATCTGAACCAAATGTTGAAATGATGTTTAGACTACAAAAATCTTAGGCTTCGTTTGGGACTCTGTTTTCTTATTGCTTCTTAAAATAGCTTCTTAATACAAAAGTTAAAATTTTTATACTAGGAAGCCGCTTTAAAAAGCAATAAAAAAGTCGTCCCAAACGAAGCCTTATACTTAAAGCCAAATATATGAAGGAATATTTACCTGTTGCTCTAAAAATAACATATCCTTCCTCAGCTTTGTGGTTATCATGTTTTTCCTTCTTATGACCTCTTCCAGTTCTGCAATCCTCTATTTCAACCAGAAATGAGAGTAATGTAAGATAGGGGGATGAAAAACTTAAATCATTGATAATGGAAATGAAAAACAACCTTAGAGTAAGCAACACTGGAAGCATGGGCAGTAGCAGTAAGTTCCTTGATGTTGGCATCCTTCTCTTCACATTCATTTCGAAGGTTGTAAAGCTCCTGCTCTGCTGCTAATGTGCTCAGCTCTACAGGCTACAAGATTTACCAATTAAGAATATATGGCAAGACAAGTATTTATTATTAAACTTTCTGAATTATGGCTAAAGCCTTCACCATCAAGAAAAAATATTCATTGGTAATTTAAAATGAATTTTCTATAGAGGTTCTAAAAAGAGCACGATCATCAGAAAATGAAGCCAACATACAACCAATGCAAAAAGCTAGAACATCATATTTTCTTAATTTGATGAACACAAAAGTTTAGGAGAGGTTACAAGAAAAGCTCATTAGAGGATTATACAATTAACATTTCTGGTTCATATGGCTTAGGAAAGTGTATGCGATGAGTTGAAGGTTGATTCTTCTTGAAAACACATTTCCTATTAGAGATTCTCTGGGAATCTTCTCAAGGGATATTTTGAGGGCAGTCATATGATTTTTTACATCTTTTTTGGAAGTCTTGAACTTCTAGAATAAAGAACGCCATCTCTTTTAATTGTAATCTAATATATATAGTAAGATCTATGAGCTTGTACATTTAACATTGAAATTGCATAAAAATATTGTATTGTGTGAAATTCTGTGTGATTCCTCAATTATTTTCATTCCTTAAATGATGGTAAACACTTCTTGCTACTGTTCCATCCAACATAGATCGAATAGGCCAGTTCAACCGATTTGATCGTTTCACTAAAATAACTCTTATAGCATCGAACAAATAAAAACCGGCAATTCAACAAAAAAACCAATGAATTAGGTATGGTTTTGCATAACCGGTCAATCCTACTAATTTTACTTTAGAATCATTTGATCTTCATCCATAAAAACAAATTAAAGCAAAAAACCTAAATTTATCTAACCCTAAAATACCTAATTCTAAACCGCTATGTGAACTCAAGATCCTCCTCCATCATACTTAGCCTTCGGCACTTCACATCATAGCTTAATCCCTTCGCCCCATTCGCACGACCGCAATCGCCGCTACGTTGGTTGCCTCCATAACATTCATCGATGCACATTAGAGGATTCATCCCTTCACCCATCTGCACTTGCAAGAACCACCACACTGGGAATCAACCTTTGGAGATTTTTTGGGCTCCGAAAATTTGCATCTTTGCTGAAAGAGTGTTAATTTTTGGGCCAAATTTTCAGAAAGCTGATTATATTGAAGATAAAACTTTACCTAAGGATTTCATCCTCATTTTGCAATGACTTTATGATATGGTTCCAGGTGTCTTACAAGCATAAGACTGTGGTTATTCCCCCACCCCCAGCGATGTAAGAGAGAATTTTTAATTAAGGCAAATTATTAGAAGCTAAGTACTTAATATATAGTAATAAAAAATTTAGCGTATAGCTTAAAATTTACCACATTCCACTTAAAACAGATGATGGAAGAAATAATGACGAACTCTACTAAGATTCTATGGTTCCATCATCTCAGGTTGTCACAGTCTCAACTCTACTTAGTCAATGAAAGTAGTTGATTCAAGCTGATGAAGGATCCTCATTGACAATTATAAGTTGTTTTTTCCAAGGGAACCTTGTAGATTTAGGCTTCATTTGGGATGACTTTTTTATTACTTCTTAAAATAAATTTTTTATAAAAAAATTAAAATTTTTATACTAAAACTTTGTTTTAAGAAACAACTAAAAAGTCATCCCTAATGAAAATCTTAGAGTAGATATTTATCTAAGAGGACAGATTTAAGCAATGATTCCAGAAAATCTCTAATGAAACCAGCCATCTCAGCATGTAACACACCTCTTGCTCCCAACAAGACGCCATGTATCAACCGCTTGCTTGCACAACATTTAAGATATCACAAAGCTCTCAATCATTCAAGATACTAATTATATCAGTTTGTCATGCAATTGTAAGAGGATTTTGTTTGACCATCAGAACTTCAAAGTCCAATCTCCACAACCATCCACCATCAAAACCTCGAGTGCTCACTTCACCGTGAGAGAAGACTCACAAGATTATATTCTATTTTTCTTTCATTATATATCCACATTGTGGTGGGAACCTCCTAATCTTTTTTACCATTCTCTTGTGAGGTCCATTGCAATCCCGTGTGCATAAATTTTAGTGCATTCCAAGTCAAAATATACCAATAGTGGATGCAAGCAATCTAGCTAAACTACCATAAGCCTTGTGCTCTTTGTTTGGGTGTCTATTCTTCCAGGTGCTCACTATAAAATATTCTTGTAGCTCACAGTAAGCACTCTAATTTGGTAATGGGTCTGGGTTAGGTTAACAAATTTGGTAGAGGCTAATATGAGTTAGATCTGACTTTGGTGGTTCTAGGGACAAGAGATGGGAATTTGACTATGAAAAGGGAGAATCAGAAAAATCACTCAAATAAAAGTTGTGGGGACTTCTAGCAATGCTTTTGTGACGACCCCAAGATCCGTGTAGCGAAAGGATTCATCTGATCGTTCTATTGCCTCTTTTTTTTTTTTCTTCTTTTCTTTCTATCGGTTTCCTCATCTGTTGTTCATATCAATCCATACATACATATATCCAGACCAGAATAATACAATAAAAAAAAACAGCAGCGGATACTATAATTCAATATAGTACAACAGTCAGAGTACAGCCAAAAGAGAAATCTACATCTAGCCGTACAGGCTACAAAAGAAAAGCCTACCAAGGCTACAAAGAAAAAAGCTACAGAAATCGGCAGAAAGATCTTCAAGCTGGAGGCTGCACCTGAAATCATTAATCACATATAATGAGCTTACAAAGCCCAGCAGTCACCAAAGCCTACAACTAAATCAACGCACGACACTGAAAACAATTATGCGAGGTTAATCAAATAATCAAATCAATCAGTCGTACATGATCAATGATCAATGCAATACAGAAATCAATACGGAACAGAAATCAATAAAATCAATAGCCAGTAGGAAATCCATAAAGCTCAAAAATCAATGCGTCAATCCATTCTCTACAATCTCTATCATAGCAATCGATAACATCAATTACATCAATACAATCGCTGTATCTCTTACTTATCGTATCACATCAGTAAATCAATAGAGTGGAATCGTATCGGAACATATACTTGCAAATCAATCTATCGTTCATCTCACACTTCTTATCAATACGGCAGTGTATGTATCCACTAGCATAAAAAGAATCATCCATTGACGACCACGAACGAGCTACAACAGTGAAATCGTATCAATCAATTCGGCCAGTCAATAGACCAATCGGCTCAAAATCCCAATAAACGATCAAATCAAACGGCGAAAGACAATGAAATCAAACAACAATCAGCTTCATAAAGAAATTCATTTTTCGATAAAGTTAAATCCATACGGCAACAATCCATTCAATCAATCAATCGATAATCGACGACGAATCAATACAATGTATCAATAGCATGTCAGGATCTGTCGTATCAATAGTATCCATATAACTATCGTACTATACATTCGATCGATGTTCTAGTCAATCGGTACAATCTAATCAATATCAGTGTCAAATCTATGAATCAATACGCAGAATCCATATCAAATCGGCCGTATCTATGAATCAAACAGTCACATATCATCGGGGAAATCGATCATATCAATCGGAAATCAATACGATAATCAATTAATCGTTCAAGTAATAAAATTCAATGAAATCCATCAATATCAATAAGTCAATCACGAAATCAATAAATCGATGCATATCAGAAATCCATACGATGCAATATCTACACATGCAATTCCATACAAGGTCTTACTCGACAAGCACAAACACTAGCTATATCAATGGTGCTGTTGTAGAAATCATTATGCTGTTGTAATATCCGCACGTTGTTTCTATCAAGAAGAGTCGTCACTTTTGCCCGTCGGCATATAAAACTCCTTATGACTCACATCAATAGTGCTGTTGTAGAAACCATAATCGATATTTAAAGGAAAGCCCGTCGGCCCACCATCCTGTACAGGTCAAGATCTATCTCCAACCAACGTTCAACCAGGTTCCCACTTGTCTTTCAGAACAATCAATCAATCAATAGTCAATCAATAATCGATGCAATAAGCAATATGAAAGAAATCTAGAACAATCATATCAATAGTCATACGCATATCAATCCAATCTATCAAATCCGGGAAAATCAGAAATCATACAAATCGGGCAGAGAAACGACAGTCTGTTCAAAATTACACAAAAATCTCAAAAATTACAATTCACCAAATTAAACAAACGAACTGCACAGTAATATATTAAGACTATTCTTCTACTGCTCAAACCAATTCGGACATCATAATAAATTGCAGTCAAAATAAAACTCCGGCAAACCAAAACGGACCGGCGACAAATCTGCCAGAAAATAATCAAAACGTGCAGAATAATCACATCTACAACATACCAAAGTTATCGCGTAAAATCTTCGCCAGTACCAAACCGGGTACGAAAATCACTTACAAAACACAAATCTGAGCACCATTTACAAAACCTCAAAATCTTCGAAAACAGAAGTAGGTTCGGATCCTTACAGTGAGACAAAAAAATATCCAACAGCAGACAACGACGAAAATCGCTCCGCGGGCCCCGAAATCGGACTCTTCCTTTGCTTTTCGCTCTTTCTCTCTCTTCAAAATATCTGATATTTTAAAATGATTTCTCTCTCCTCAAAACGAGCTCATTTTCATATATCATTATGCATCGGCCGGCCGATCGCCAAATCGTCCCGGGACGATCAGACCAAAATGGATCGTCCTGGACGGTTCCCAGAACTAGTTTCAAGACGATATTTTGAACAGTACAGATCGGCCTGGACGATTTCTCAGACGATGCTCTCGGGATTCTTGTCGTATCGGATCGTCCCAGGACCGATCCAAAATCGTCCTGGACGATTCAGTCCAGAAATCACTCCAGAACATTCCAGAAATCAGCTTTTTCAATGCACTGACGGCCTGATCGATCCTCACCATCTCCAGCCGATCCTGAAAAATCACTTTCCCAAGCACACAGCAAAGGAACCTACAAGCTTTATGGTGCTGAAGTGGCCATTAAAAGAGAAGCATAA